GGCTACTTTTAAATCTGCTACTGTGTGTCCAGGGAGATTGAAGTGTTTTCCTATAGGTTTTTTGTATGTTACCATTCCTGGTATCAGATTTGTGTGCATTTATTCTTTTACTTAGGGACTGTCCAGTTTGGCCAGTATATATGGCAGAGGAGCATTGCTGGCACACGATGGCATATGTTACATTGGTAGATGTGCAGGTGGTGTGGCTGATGTGGTTAGGTCCTGTGATGGTGTTGTTGGTGTAGCTATGTGGGCAGAGTTGGCACCAAGGTTTATTGCAGGGATTGGTTCCAGAGTGGAGTTACTATGGTGTGGTGTATAGTTGCTGGTGAGAATTTGCTTCAGGTTGGCGGGTTGTCTGTGGGCAAGGACTGGCCTACCTCCCAAGGTCTGTGAGAATGGAGGATCATTGTCCAGGATGGGATGTAGATGACTGATGATGCATTGGAGAGGTTTAGTTGGGGACTGTAGGTGATGGCCAGTGGTGTTCTGTTATTTTCTTTGTTGGGCCTGTCCTGTAGCAGGAGGCTTCTGGGTTTACGTCTGGCTCTGTTGATCTGTTTCCTCACTTCCTCAGGTGGGTATTGTAGTTTCAAGAATGCTTGGTGTAGATCTTATAGTTGTTTCTCTCTGTCTGAAAGATATAACAAATGCGGTTATACCTTAGTGCTTGGCTGTAAATGATGAATCGTGTGGTGTGTCCAGGATGGAAGCTGGAGGCATGTAGGTAGGCATGGCGATCCATAGGTTTTCAGTATAGAGTGGTGTTTAGGTGACCATCACTTACTTACACTGTAGTATCCAGGAAGTGGATCTCTTGTGGATCTAGACTAGTCCAGGCTGAGGTTGATGGTGGGGTGGAAATTGTTGAAATCAAAGTGAAATTCTTCCAGAGCCTCCTTCCTGTGGATCCAGATGATGAAGATGTCATCAATGTAGTGTAAGTAGAGGAGGGGTGCTAGTGGACAAGAGCAGAGGAAGCGCTGTTCCAGGTCGGCCATAAAAATGTTGGCATATTGTGGGGCCATGCGGGTGCCCATAGCAGTGCCACTAGTTTGGAGGTATAAATTGTCCCCAAATCTGAAATAGTTGAGTGTGAGGATCAAGTCCCAGAGCTCGGCCACCAGTTGTGCCGTGGCATTGTCAGAGATACTGTTCCTGACAGCCTGTATTCCATCTACATGTGTATTCCATCTACGTTCTCAGAGAGTAGTTACTAAAGGTTCACAATCCTGCTGGAAAGGTATAACAAGTGGGGTTCCACAGGGGTCTGTTTTGGGACTGGTTCTGTTCAATATCTTCATCAACAATTTAAAAATCGGCATAGAGAGTATGCTTATTAAGTTCGCAGATGATACCGAGCTGAGAGGGGTTGCAACGGCTTTGGAGGACAGAGTCATCATTCAAAATGATCTGGACAAATTGGAGAAATGATCTGAGGTAAATAGGATGAAATGTAATAAGGAAAAATGCAAAGTGCTCCATGAAGGAAGGAACAATCAGTTTTACATATACAGAATGGGAAGCGACTGTCTAGGAAGGAGTAAGGGATTTAGGGGTTATAGTGGACCACAAGCTAAATATGAGTCAACGATGTGACACTGTTGCAAAAAAAGCAAACATGATTCTAGGATGCATTAACAGGTGTGTTGTGAGCAAGACACGAGAAGTCATTCTTCCGTTCTACTCTGCGCTGATTAGGCCTCAGTTGGAGTATTGTGTCCAGTTATGGGCACCACATTTCAAGAAAGATGTGGAGAAACTGAAGAAGGTCCAGAGAAGAGCAACAAGAATGATTAAAGGTCTAGAGAACATGACCTATGAAAGACTGAAAGAATTGGGCTTGTTTAGTTTGGAAAAGAGAAGATTGAGAGGGGACATGATAGCGGTTTTCAGATATCTAAAAGGGTGTCACAAGGAGGAGGGAGAAAAATTTTTCTTCCTGGCCTCTGAGGATAGAACAAGAAGCAATGGGCTTAAACTGCAGCAAGGGAGGTTTAGGTTGACATTAGGAAAAAGTTCCTAATTGTCAGGGTGGTTAAACACTGGAATAAATTGCCTAGGGAGGTTGTGGAATCTCCATCTCTGGAGATATTTAAGAGTAGCTTAGATAAATGTCTATCAGGGATGGTCTAGATGGTTCTGGGTCCTGCCATGAGGGCAGGGCACTGGACTCGATGACCTCTCGAGGTCCCTTCCAGTCCTAGTATTCTATGATCTCTGTCCTGCCTCAGAGACAGCCCTTTTCACACAGCCCTACACCTCCAAGTCCAATGTTCAACAGGATAAGAGGGGCAAAGTGAGTCTCTCCTAGGAATGTGAATGTATAACCGTGTGGACAGTTAACCGATAAGACCGGTCTTATTGGTTAATGTTCACGGTTACACGCAGGATCCCGTCCCCACTGTATCAGAGGCAGCAGCGTGGGATGACAGCCAGCTCCCTATGAGCGAGACCGGTAGCACAGGTAGCCAGCTTAAAAGCCAGCTTTTGGCATGCACTGGTTCCCAGGGAGCCAGCTGCCACTGAAGATGAGTTTTTCAGTGGTTACACAATTACCCACCTTTAAACATCCTTAGTCTCTCCCTCATTCACATGCAGGTAGGCTCCCAGTCCTACCCCATTAACATCTTTGGGTGCATGTGCATTGCCTCCCTTCTTCCCCCAACTGTATTCTGCCTCTACTGCTGGCTGCTTCCAGCAGACACATCTGAACTACTGCAGAAAGGGCATGTATTCTCCACAGATTTCTCTTCTGTTTGGGAGCCAAGGTATCTGTGGAAGGTATGAATTCTGTACCCCTCAGGGTACAGAACACCTTCAGGAGTAAATACATTTTATCTGACACAAAATCAAACATTTAATTTAGGGTTTTTTTTAAACCCTTCCTTCTCTTTCTACCTCCTTTTTCAGTGAAAGCTATTTCTAAGTGAAATGTCTTTTCAAAACACAAAGTCAAAAATGTTTCAGATTTTTTGGAATCCCCCATCCCTTTTATTTCCAGCCACAAATACTTGTAAAATGCAACCTGTTTTCACAAACAGTTTGGCCTTCCTTAAGCTAATCTTCCAAATCAATGGAAAACAATTACGGCAGTCATGGCCAAAATACATTTCAACATAAGAAGAAAAGTGTGCATTAGTTCTGTGCTTACAAAGTCTTGCCGTATATCATTGAAGTCTTTGCCATATTTTTCCAAAGCCTCCTCAAATAAACTAGCTTCTGATGCGGACCATTCTTCCATTTCATCTCTGCATAAAACAGGTCCTCCAAGTGGTACCAGAACACTAATGGCACTGCTCAAATCATAGTTGTGCTTATGTAATGTATCCATTGCATGGAACTAAAAGAAAAAGACAATTAGTAAATTAAATAATCATCAACCAGGACCACAACTAACAAAGTACTATATTCTATATTTTGGGAAACATACCTTAACTTATAATACATTTAGAGTTTATCCTATTAAGTGTTTATCTGCTAGAACAATGTCAGAAATGTACCTGTTCAAAGCTATAGTATTAATGAATTTCCTATAGATGAATGTCCATTCTTCAACAGTTCCACTGAGGATCTGTCAATTCTATTTTCAGTGACGATAGATGATAAATAATGCTAAACTGGAGATGCAAACTTCTCCTTGCAGTCAGTCAGTCAGTCAGTCAGTCAGTCCCTTCCTTCCTTTTTTTTTTTTTTTTTTTTTTTTTTTTTTAAACAGGCAAGGAAATAAATCAATATTAGTTTTGTTCATTATCACCATCACAGTGGACAGTGTAGGATAAGATTTTGTCCTTAGTATCCAACATTGTTAATCAAAAAGTATGCCAGGCTGTACTAAACATTGCAAGGGCTTTTATTAATAAAAGAGGAATACAGAGGCAACTGCCTGCAATCTTCACTCAGATGGTCTCAAGAAATTACTATATGCTGACATCACTAATAAGAGATGAGAAGATGAGTATAGAAATAAACAAATGACACAGATCTTCTTCAAAGAAGATGTGTAATAAATAGTCTCTCTGACTTAAGAGTCCCGTAGCTCCCAAAATCTCCAGGACCTCAAATAATTGCTGCTAAGGCAGCTGTATATGTACTGAAAGGGAAAACACTAATTCTGAAATCCTCAGATTATATTTCTTAGGACAAACTTATCGGGCAGAACCTAAAGAAGGTGGGGGGGAAGAGAGAGAGAGAGAGAGAGAGAGAGAGAGAGCGCGTGTGTGTGTGTGTGTGCGCGCGCGCACGCGCGTGTAAATGTTTAGAAGACTATTTTCTCTTTCCAAGAGAAGACATTACTAAGTTTGTACAAACAGAGCTGCAGTAGTTCTGTAGCTCCTCAGCACTTTAACTGGTGGGCATCTCAATGACCAGTGAGAGCTTTAGTGTTTGAAGCAGAATGGAATGATGTGCTTATATGTCGATGTGAATTTGTAAAATCCAATGGTGTTAATGCAAGAGTCGTTGTTTGAACCTCATTGTTATTAAGGAAGGAGGTTTAAATGAGTGTCTTTTTTATCTTCTTCTATGTAACCTCAAAGCGCATTTCCATGGAAATTTCTAACACAGATTGGCATGACATTCTTGGATTTTAAATTGGCAATAATTCTAAAAACAATAAAAATCATTGACTATTGAAGCTATGTTCACTTACGCATCCATATCGACCAGAATTAGTTGTTTGCATTTTTTAAAATGTGCTTAATGATTTTTGTAATGGTTCTTCACTGACAATGAGATATATGCTTAAGCACTGGCCTACCCATCTTCCCCTCACAAATATTTAATTCTAGACAATTCTATATTATAACAACAGGTATAATTCTTAGATTATAAATGAAGGATGACATCTTTACGCAGCAATGTGATATAGTGGCTACATGTGAGTGGAGTCCCAGAGACCCACACTGAAGTTACTCAATTAGGATGAACAGCAAAGAATGGGGCAAACAATCCCCAAAGCTGGTGGATATTCCAATACATAGGGTACATCTAGACTACATGCCTCTATCGCCAGAGGCATATAGATTAGGCTACCAGGCATAGGAAAATGAAACAGCGATTTAAATAATCGCCGCTTCATTTAAATTTACATGGCTGCCGCGCTGAGCCGACAAACAGCTGATCAGCTGTTTG